GAGGCGGAGGGGTGGACTCCTTTGAAGCCAGGACAGACAGAAAACCTAAGAACAAACACAGAACAACACCAAGGGCTTGGCCTGAATGAACTAAGAGCTTCGGTGGGGAGGGGGCCTTGGTGGGCAGACGGAGCACCTGGAGCCTATCACAGCCAGGAAGCTTTTATTGACCTCTGCATTCCCCCACGCAGCTCTCCTTGTCACCAAACCTCAGTGCCTGTGGTGCTGGGACAGCAGCAGGCAGCCACCCATGGCTCAGGAGGAAGGAGAGGGAATGTTCAGCCTGCTCAAGGCTCATTTCCCACACACACACGAAGCCACGTCCCCAGACAGTGCCCCTCTGGGGAAATGCTGAGAGATGCCAGTTCACGCCCAGGTGCACACACCCAGCATGCACCCTCTTCCACACAAGAACAGGGGGCCTCACTACGGCCTTGCAGGGCAGGACCAGGGTGGACCCTGGCCATTTCCTGAGGACGTTAAGCCAGAAGCCAAGGCAGAGACACTTGCCTGTGAATCTGAAAGGCCCAATGATCTGGCTGGTAGCACAGGAGAAGTGTTCAGACCAGGGGCCATAAGCTTCAAGGGGAGAAACAATTTTTAAGAGAACAAGGAACTCTGAGAACAGAAAACACTACGCTAGCCCTGACAATTTGTACTGAAGGTAAGAAGGAAGGCCGGGGAATATTTGCTGTCACTACCTTAGAGAACCTTGGGATTACTCAGGAGTCAGGTGGAGCAAGGACCCATTTTAGGGAAGTTTTGTGGATTCTGTGTCTTCTCATCCTCAAACCCAGGGGCTAGTTTACAAGAAACTCCTCTGATCTCCTCTGAACTAGAGCAGTATGCTTCACAAACCCTAACCCTGACAACCACAGTATTCACCTGGGTATAAGAAACTGTATGTACTCCTTTGATATTTGGCCCAGAAAACTGAATTTGCTTATTAACCTTAAATCATTTAACCTACTAACTATGAACTTTTAACTAATTTCTTTATAAATAGCTCCACCAATAGAAGATACTCTTCAGATCTTCTTAAAGTTAGAAAGTTATCTGTTTTTCCCCTTGCAGCAGAAGCATTTTAAAAACTCAGTGCAGAATCTCAACTTTGCAGGACTCTATCCCGTAACTATGCCCAATAAACATACTGCCCAGTATGTCTGGGCTCTGGTTTAGGGCCCCATGTGGCCTTCACTTGAGCATGGGCTGACCAGCTTCACCAAGGCTGAACAGAGCACAGCAGCCAGAGTGCAGTATGGAGGGTGGTCTCACAATTAATAGGAACCACAGAGCCCCCTGATCACACATTTCATGAGGACCCAGCCCTTTGGGACAAGACTCACACCCTCAAAGCATCAGTTGTGCCCAAAGCAGGCTCCTGAGTGGCTGCACATTGGAGTCACCTGGGGCCGGGGGTGGGGACGGGTGGTGGAGAAGCCATTAAAGCACCCATGCCCTGGGCCACACCAGACTGACTCTATTAGAATCTTTAGAGTAGGACCTGGGTACTGTTTTCTGTGATTTCTAAGCTCCACAGGTGATTCTTCACAGAAGATCTGCACCAAACGTTCAAGAGGTCTATGTTTCAGGGGCTGCGGGTGCTGAAAACCTCGGGAAGTCACTGCATGTGGCTACTTCCATGTGCGATATGAGAAGCGCAGGTAACCCCACCTCCCCTCTAAAACATCTCTCCCCAGCCTCCTGTAATCAGATCATTAAGCATAGCCTTCATCTTTGCTAAACATCCTTTCTTGGGAACCTAGAAATACCCCTTAGAACGTTCCTTGCCAAAGTGACAAATGAGCATAGAAAAGCTTCCAAATGCAAACTCTGCAGATTGAGACCAAGTTCATTTTCAACACAAATGCTGTTGCGTGTACTATGCCTGAGAAAGGAGCAAGGATTGTAACACTGCCCTCTGTGAGGAATACATAGAAACTGACCACAAGGTAATCTTTACCAAGAGTAGTGAAGGTTCTGGGAACTTGCTGAGAATTGGCTCCTTCGAATTTAAACAGCAAATACACAGCTCTGGGAAGTCTGTGTTTCTTCCTTTGGAGTCAAAGCTCATTCCCAGTGAAAAGCAAGTCATATCAGGACATTTTTATTCTCTGCCCGCACGTGCAGCATGTATGACTACTCCTCCACAATTCTCCTCCACATCTAGGGCGTTCCTGGCTTCTCACTTCCACTGAGAGCACCTGTCCCCTTTCCCAGGCCTCTAGACCCATCTCTGCTGGCTATTCTGATAAGCAGATGCAAACATGCTCTCACACTTCCAGGTAGCCAAGTCTTAGTTAACACGGGCCTTCCAAGAGCTTCCCCACCTCTGCCAAAAAACAAACAAACAAACAAAAACTAGGGTTTCAGTGCTTTGGCCTGTGTTGGGGCCATCTGAGGGGCAGCCTGCTCCCCAGCTGAGGGGCAGCCCCCACTCACCTGGGCTGCGCCAGGCCAGCCCTGTCTGCACTTCTTGTCTCTGGAACTGCCTTCTGGTTTGTCACAACAGAATTCAGGCTTTGTAACTTATACTTGCTTCATTGTCACAAGCACACGTGATATGAAACCACACCCGATAAACTCCTGCTGAAATATGGAGGCTTTTTGAGCTGCTCTGTGTATATGTGCTATTTTCAGGGAGAAAAGCCCAATTTCCCCAGACACAGAAGTGCTCGCTGTGAGGACTACCTTCTCCCAGGAAGCTGATGAGGACAGGAGCTGCGATCCCAGGTCTCGTGCCTTCCCTTCCAGAGCACACAGGTGACAGCTACAAAGCTCATCGCTCACAAAAAGCATGTGATGAGCACGGACCTCTGTAGAAAGAGAAAAAACGAATTCTGAAGACCTCAATGTGCAGGGCAGGTGAGAGAACAGAGCCAGAGAAGCCTAAGGTCAAAGCCGTGGCCTCATTACGGGCTGGCTATGAAGACGCGCATACTTGGGTGACACCTCTGACCAGTGGCTGTCTTCAGCATTGTCTTTTCTCTCTTTTTCCTTTCTTTGTACAATGTCTCAGGTGTAAGCCCACACTAGGCAACATCAGGGAATGCAACCACTGCCCAC